TTGTCTGCGCGGCGGAGGCAGAACAAAGCGCCCGGTCCAGTCCGGCCCGGCCCGGCGTGCGCTGATGCGGATGTGCGGCACAGCGGTTGAAGGCGGGGAGGCGGCGGGAGCGGATCGGTCCGGCGCTGGCACTTACAGCTCGCGTCCCGCGCCGGCAGAGCTCGCATCCCGCACGATCCGGTCCCGGCGAGACGTCCCGCAGCAGCGCGGGTACCCCGGCACCCCAGTACCCGGCGCTCTGGTGCCGACACCGCTCCGGTACCGCCGGCCGCTCCGGTACCTTCAGTGTGTTCCGGTGCCCTCCGGCGCCGTGCCCCCACCCCGTCCTCCCGGAGCTCGGCCTCCCGGTGCCGCGGCCGCCCCGGTGCCGCAGCCGCCCAGCGCAGAGCTCGGCTGCAGGCGGCGGATCGGCGCTGGCTCGGCGCGGAGGCTCCTGCTGAAACCCGACCCAGCGCCGCCCTCAGCCCCTCTCTCCCCCCGCCGCCCCCATCCCCGCCCCGCCACCGGAGCGCGTCGGCAGAGCGCGGCCCCGGGCCGGGGTCCGCGGAGGTGGGTCGACGTGGTGGGACGCGGGATACGGGACACGGGGCGCGAAGGGGCCGGGGAGCAGCGGCGAGGAGGGGGCCTGAGCGGAGCGGGGGGAAAGGCTGCAGCTGGGAGGGATAAGGGGGAACGGGTAGGAAGCAATAGGAGCCAGAAACCTGGGGAAGTGAGAAGAGGTGGGAAAGAGCGAGGGGCGAGGACGGGGGTGGGAAGGGACGGGGCAAGGAGAGGGATGGGCAAAAAGAGGTGGAAGGAGACGGAGGGTGGTATTGGGGGGATGTGGGGACGCGATCACAGCGGCACAGCCCGTTTTCTAGTCTACCACAGTTCCTTCTTTAAAAGCAAGCACAGTTTGGGGTGTTGGAGCTTCATGATCGCTGAGGTCTCTTCCAACCCAAGACATTCTATGACTCTATGATGCTATGCTTCTGTAACCTGAAAACCTCGTGTTGAGGCTCCTAATGCCTGGGAAGGACA